ATGCTCTCCACTCACAGTTTACCCATAATGCCGAGTGTTCCTAATGTACGCACGCAATGTCCCCTCACTGTTTAATGCCATCTGTACGCAGTTTACCCATCATGCCAAGTGTTCCTAATGTACGCACAGTGTCCCCTCACTGTTTAATGCTCTCCACTCACAGTTTACCCATAATGCCGAGTGTTCTTAATGTACGCACAAAATGTCCCCTCCCTATTTAATACTCTCCACTCACAGTTTACCCATAATGCAGAGTGTTCCTAATTTACACACACAACGTCCCCTCACCGTTCTGCATAGATGTGATGTCCCCAGATTTGATTCAAATCTCGCTATGGAAACCGTTTACACCTGGCAGGGGAAGCTGTGCAAGGTAGTTGTGTTACCTGGTGGTCTGCTCTGGGCCTTGTATGTGTGTGTGTGTGTGTGTGTGTGTGTGTGTGTGTGTGTTTGGGAGGATCTTTATCAGCCTCGTCTGACTTGAGGCTACCAGACAATGGAAACCCGTGCAGCAAAAATACTGCAAGGATAAGATCTTGATCTGTACTTCTCAATGAGTGAAACTGGGCGGAGTGGCTTTTGCTGTGCATTGTAATTGTGAGCACAGAGAGGTGGTGTGGTACCTGGTGCCAGGAGGCCATGTGTTTCTGTATGCACGTATATCACACTACTTTCCATTCACTATTTATGCTTAACACGAGAAGTGCTTTAAGGATTTTACTGGAAGGTGTTGTGTATGTGGGGTGCGCTGGCATCACTGTCAGAGCAATCGTTGTCGTCATCATTATTACCTGCTCTCGTTTCTTTATGAAATTTTTCTTTTTATAAACCTCTGTGTGATTAAAATTCATCATCGTTATTACATAGAGTCATTTCTCGTATGCCCCGCCTCTTCTCCAGTCGGCCAATAAGAAGCCGCGGAAGGCGCCAATGGAGAAGAGCCAGCCGAGACCCCCCCGTGGGAGGAAGCCAAATGGTGTGAGCCAGCAGAATGGGGAGGGCGAGCCGGTCACACTGTTCGAGGTGGTGAAGCTGGGAAAGAGTGCCATGCAGGTAGAGCGCCCCCACACACACGCACACACGCACACGCGCACACGCACACACGCACACGCGCACCTACACATACACACCTACACACTCATACACACTCTCACACACACACACACACACGAGTACCTTGTCCAAGGGTACAGCAGCAGTGTCCCAGCGGGGAATCAAACCAGCAACCTTTCGGTCAGGAGTCCTGCTCCTTAACCACTATGCTGCACTGCCACACATACATGCACACACATATACAGACATAAACACAGACACGCATATATACATACAGTGGCATACACACATGTACACAGACACACAGACACACATGCACACGCATACATACAGACATAAACACAGAGACACACTTGCATACAGACACACACAAACATACATAAATACAGATATATACATGTATACACATGCATGCATGCATAGTTACATGTATTTATACACTGAATCTCTCTGCAGTCGGTTGTGGATGACTGGATCGAGTCGTACAAGCAGGACAGAGACATCGCCCTGCTGGACCTCATCAACTTCTTCATCCAGTGTTCCGGGTGCAAAGGTAACCACGCCCATTACATTACATTACTGGCATTTAGCAGACGCTCTTATCCAGAGCGACTTACATTGGTTAGAGTTTTCAGTGTGAGTCCAACGTAAGTCCATTCATACAGCTGGATATTTGTGGGTTAGATGGCTTGCCCAAGGGTACAGCAGTGCCCCAGCAGGGAATCGAACTGGCAACCTTTCGTTTATGAGTCCTGCTCTGTAACCACTATGCTACACACCCTCCTCAGGGTCCTGCGCTGCATGGCATCTGTCTGCCACACTCTCTTTCACAGGCCTGGATATTTTCTTTAAACACTTATAAAATATGCAGTACCATATTTATCTAGTGTGATGATTTTAACTGAACAGATGGTAAACTTGCAGTAAATAGGTCAGACTCCCACTTTGTCGGCATACCGCCTTTGTCAGGAAGTGCTTTGATGGTGCTTAATTGTAATTGTTGGAACCTGGCATTCATCAAAAACAACAAATGTGAACATGTTAGAGTTACGGCGATCAAAGAACCATTCCGCTTTCTCAGACTGGCTTACCAGTTTACTCCCTGCTAACCCTCTGTTTCGACGCCTTTTAAAGACACAACTCATACTTATTAGAAACTAGTAATGTAGTCGTAGGCTGGTTTCTGATAGTATTAGTGGTTATGGTGCCTTTTTCAGGTTGACATTATGAATTGCTGCCCTTCTCAAGCCCCTTGAGATTTGAAATTCCCAGTTGATTATTTTATGACAGGCAAACAGAAGTGATGTTAACTAATATAGCACATTGAAAATAGTATTTGAAAACTGGCTGTATTGCTGTCTGTTATTTTTGTTTTCTGTTCAGTGCATCTATGTTTTCATCTGAATACTCGAATATTTCTCCCAAAACAGGCACTGTGAGAATCGAGATGTTCCGCAACATGCAGAACGCGGAGATTATCAGGAAAATGACGGAGGAGTTTGACGAGGTAATTCATTTTTGGGTTACCAGGGAGACGGTAGGATTAAATAACCCAGGGATTTTGTCCTGGGCCTGTCCTGTCTTGGACGTCTTTGACAAGGCCGCTGTGAAAATCTTCCACTCCTTGAAGCCCTGTCAGATTGAATTCGGCTTGTCTTGTGAGTCAGTGGTTTAGCCTGGGAGGCATGAAACGTCACAGTCAGCAGTAAGCTTGGTGTGACAGACGGGCCTCAGTTTGCCTGAGCTAGCATACAACGGCATTTCTTTCACAGTACCATGATCATTTGTAGATCGTTTGGACAACTAAAAAAGTACAAGGTTTAAGGCAAATGAATTATGCTGCCTTCGGCAGAGTAGGCCAGTGTTTGTAATGCTAACTGCTGAATTTTAAGGAAGACAAGTGAGCACATTAGGCCTTCAGCAGGGATTAGAGTCTGTTGAGAAAGAAATGGATACTTTTGTAAAGTGCGAGAGGAAGTAAGACTCTCTGAGGCAGACCAGCACTTAACTGGTGTAAACGAATACACAGGAAGCAGCCATCTAATTTCCCACAATGCACTGCTGTTTTCCCTCAGAGGGCATTCGAACTTGGGTGAACAAAGACAGAAAAACAAATTATTTTACACGAAAAGTTTGTGTGATCGTTCCTTTAATGCATTGCTTGTTAGCTTGTTCTGTTGATTTGTTTTTGTGTTCCCTCCAGTGCTAGCCAGACTTTCACTCTTTCTGACAACGTTAATTTCAGTCCGGGGTTCTGATATGATGTCAGTTATCGGTGTCTGCTGTGACACACGCTTTGGGCAGCCTGATTCAGCCGGTCCTGCCCCCTGGGGTTCATCCTGGATCTGCCTTTCAGGACAGCGGAGATTACCCCCTCACCATGCCGGGCCCCCAGTGGAAGAAGTTCCGCTACAACTTCTGCGAGTTCATCGGGGTCCTCATCCGGCAGTGCCAGTACAGCATCATCTACGACGAGTACATGATGGACACGGTCATCTCGCTGCTCACCGGCCTCTCCGACTCGCAGGTCCGGGCCTTCAGACACACCAGCACCCTGGCAGGTGAGAGAAGCGGGGCTACAGGTAACCACACCCTGGCAGGTGAGAGAGGAGGGGGCTACAGGTAACCACACCCTGGCAGGTGAGAGAGAGGAGGGGCCACAGGTAACCACACCCTGAGAGGTGAGAGAGAGGCAGGGCCACAGGTAACCACACCCTGGCAGGTGAGAGAGAGGAGGGGCCACAGGTAACCACACCCTGGCAGGTGAGAGAGAGGAGTGGCTACAGGTAACCACACCCTGGCAGGTGAGAGAGAGGCAGGGCCACAGGTAACCACACCCTGGCAGGTGAGAGAGAGGCAGGGCTACAGGTAACCACACCCTGGCAGGTGAGAGAGACTGGGTGTGGCTACAGGTAACCACATTCTGGCAGGTGAGAGAGAGGAGGGGCTACAGGTAACCACACCCTGGCAGGTGAGAGAGAGGAGGGGCCACAGGTAACCACACCCTGGCAGGTGAGAGAGAGGCAGGGCTACAGGTAACCACACTGTCACAGGTGAGGTAGGGACAGGGTGTGGCAGCAAGTATTTCGTGGTCCAGGATGTAGCTCCAGGTGAGAGACTCTACAGGGACATGGTCTCCTGAGAGAGCGTTGCAGGTTGTGGTCCTCGGCAGGTTGCAGCTTCAGGTGCGATATCTGCAGGGGCGTGGCCACAGGTGAGGGGCATGGGTTCTGATCCCTTAGTCATGTCCGGGAGCCCCTAGCAGTGTGTGTAGGAGATGGGTCTACAGCCTGCTGGGAGCAAGATATGGAAACATGAAGTCTTAGAAGTGTATTGCTCTTATTTTGCGCAAACGTTTGCCTCTCTCCTCAGAGTATGGCTCAATGTTCTGTTCCTCTTCCGCCTGGACACAAACTGCACAGCCTACATCAGGCCGCCGTCATTACGGCTCGCTGGGCCCCAGTTTCCGTTCGCTAATGGCACTTTGCACTTCCCCTGGCGCAGCCATGAAGCTGATGACGGCTCTGGTGAACGTGGCCTTGAACCTGAGCATCCACCAGGACAACACGCAGCGGCAGTACGAGGCCGAGAGGAACAAGACGGCGGGGAAGAGAGCCAATGAGAAGCTGGAGCTGCTGCTGGAGAAGAGGAAGGAGGTGAGAGGGGTTTCTGTCTCTGTGGGTCTCTCTGGGTCGCAGTGAGCACACTTCAGGGCAGAGGGTCGTGTTAAGTAACTGCTCACACCCCAGCTCTGTGTTTATACACACCCAGTCGCGTGTGATAGTCATTCCAAAAAAAAGAACAAGTATTCCCTGAAATCCTGTTTTACATTACATTTCCTTTGCAGGCACTCAAATTCAGAGCACCTTGCAGCACCCACAAATTGTCCACTTATACAGTTGGATGTTCACTGAACCCGCTGGGTACTATGCTCAAAGACACAGCAGTGCCCCGTAGTGGAATCGAACCAGCAACCCTTGGGTTATGAGCCCAGCACCTTAACCTCTGCGCTACACAGCTGGCCGCTTTTTTACGGCGTGCTTTGTTTTGTCCTCCAGCTTCAGGAGAACCAGGACGAAATCGAGAACATGATGAACTCCATCTTCAAGGGCATTTTCGTTCACCGCTACAGGTTGGTACCCGAGGGCCCCCCCCCCCCAACACCTGACAAACAGCCGACCCCCAATTCCCCATAAACGGCTGACCCCTTCGGCCACTAAGATCTCTGATCGCCCCTCGGCCTTTGTGTCGTTTTAGCGTGGTCGTCTCGGGTTTGCTTTCATTTGGTTTCTCGTCTCCCCTCCGCAGAGACGCCATAGCGGAGATCCGGGCCATCTGCATCGAGGAGATCGGCGTGTGGATGAAGATGTACAGCGACGCCTTCCTGAACGACAGCTACCTGAAGTACGTGGGCTGGACACTGCACGACAGGGTGGGTCTCGCGCCGTTTGAACCGCCCTGCTCGCTTGCCCGGCCCCCTGCTGGCCCCGCCCCACTCGCTCGCCCCGCCCCGCCCCGCTCGCTCGCCCCCGCTGGCCCTGCCACCGCTCATGAAAGGAACAGAAACTGTTCAAACAGATTTGCATTTGAAAAGAACGAGATTTTATTCAAAGCACACAGTGAAACATTAAGCCAGAGCAGGACAGGTGAGTCCTACTGTGTTTCATCAGCAGTGGCAGATGTTTTGGATATTATTATAATATTATTATCATGAATACAAGATTTCGCTCCAGTTTGTAGACTCTAGCAGCCTCAGGTGTAAACCCCACTATCTGCTCTTGCATGCATTATTGCACTGGCTAATTCACTGTGAGGCTACGGGAAGCTGAAGCCATTCCACCCTAAAACACCCCATGAAAGCCTGTATGTTTCTTCAGTGTTTGTAAATATTTGAAGATGTTGGTGCTGAACATCTCTGGCTGGGAGATCACATGGTGCAGGCTCAATGCGTGAAAGTGTATTAGTGGGACTTCAGGTTATGCAAAGCCCTAATGCTGGGCTCTCCCAGTGCTGCAGCTGTTCGGTGTCACTCTTCCCCGTATAACAGGCGTGTGCTCTAATTATCCAACACGTGTCCTTGTACAAGACCCCCGATGAAACCATCTTTATGTATTCATTTGTTTTGTGACTGTTTTTTTATCCAGACCAACTTCCCCACCAGATTGCTAAAATATGAATTATAGATGTGCTATGATTAATAGATGGTAACACTGGGGCGGGATTTTGGCTGGTGGGGTGGAGTGTGTCTGTGCGGGGGGGCGCTAGGCTGTAATCGGGGATGTCCTGTTTCTCTGCAGCAAGGGGAGGTCCGCCTCAAGTGTCTGAAAGCTCTTCAGAACCTCTACACCAACCGGGAGCTCTTCACCAAGCTGGAGCTCTTCACCAACCGCTTCAAGGTACCTGGGAAAACCCCCGCACGTGTGACTGTTTGCATCAATGAACAGAACAGATATTATAGCAGAGTAATATAGTATAGTAGTAATAGAGTAGAGAATAAAGAATAAATAATAAAGATAAAAAATAAAAAAATATTCACCTGTGAGTAGAGAAAAGTTGTGGCCCATTGTCCTGGGTCATTATGCCACAGAGAGACAGAGCTGTGCAGGCATGTTTCTTTATATTTTACATCTTGTTGGCTTGGAGTATAAAACTTCATTTTGGATGCCTGAGCTGCCTGCTGAAGAAGTCTCTCAAACAGGGGTTCAGCTGTAAGGATACGGGTCTCTAATCTGAGATACGCTATCAGAGATGCTCATCCTCAAAGTCACGCTCTTAACGCTGTGAACAAATCAATTATTTAAAGACGTGTACTCTGTTTTTTTTTCTCATATCTTACACATCCATGCACATCCGTGTTATTGTTCTGACTGTTGGAAGAGTTTGGATTTTTTTTTTTCTCGCCTGAAAAGAATAACCTGAGCAGGTGCCTTTAAAGCCATTCAGGTTAATTACTTTACTCAAGCGCACAGTGGCTGTGTCCCACATTGGAACTGAACCTGCAACCTTGAGGTTACGAACCCAGCTCCTCAACCACTGCTATGAGAATCGGAATGTCTGCTGTGAAATTTTGTTTTTCCCTGTCTTTTAACTCTTTGTAATATTTCATTTGTTACAATTTTCATGATTTCATTGCTGTTTTCTCTAATTCTTGTTACACATGTTGTTGTTCTCTCCAATCTGTTTTGTACATGATGAAAGCAACGCAAAGTTCTGTATAAATAAAACTATTATTTTTTTTTTTTATTTATTTATTTTTTCATTTTCCCCAATTTGGAATGGCCAATTCCCCGCATTTTGGAATGCCCAATTTGTCATCGATGTTCGGTCCCATTGCACAACCCCCAATACTATTATTATTAATATGCTTGTTTAAAAATGTGTTTGTTTATGCGTGTATATTTAATGCGTTGTTTATGTGCCCAGGACCGCATCGTGTCCATGACGCTGGACAAGGAGTATGACGTAGCAGTGGAGGCCATTCGACTGGTGACACTAATCCTCCAGTGAGTGTCTGGGCATCATCATCATCGTCGTCGTTTCATTGTCATCCTTGCTGTCTCTATCTGTCCCTCTCTTTTTGATGGTCTGTCGCTCTGTTGTCTTTCTGTATGTCTATGCCACCCCTTTTCTGTATTTTTGATGACCTTGCCCTGACCTTGACTGGTGCTCTGGGGCCTGTGAGGCTTATGGGTGGTGTTCTGGGGGGTGTGGAGTTAATGGGTGGTTTTTTGGGGTGTGTGGGGTTTATGGGTAGTGTTTTAGGATGTGTGCGGTTTATGGGTGTTTTGGGGTGTGAGGTTTATGGGCGGTGTTTTGGGGTGTGAGGTTTATGGGCGGTGTTTTGGGGTGTGAGGTTTATGGGTGGTTTTTTGGGGTGTTTGAGACTGACCGGCAGTGTTGTTGCAGGGGGAGTGAGGATGCCCTCTCTAACGAGGACTGTGAGAACGTTTACCATCTGGTGTACTCCGCCCACCGGCCTGTGGCGGTCGCCGCGGGAGAATTCCTCCACCGCAAGTGAGTGTGTGTGTGTGTGTGTGTGTGTGTGTGTGTGTGTGTGTGTGTGTGTGTGTGCGCAGGACTACCCCTTGAGCGTGCTTTAATAATGTTTGTGTCGATGTGTGTGTCTACTTATGTGTACATGTGTGTCTGTGTAAATACAAATAAAATAGTAAATACATAAATAATGAATAGGTTTGACATTTTCCCAGCAGCACCAGTCATCAGAGATGTAAATTCTCGTCATGCTACCTGAAAAATTGTAAAGGTTATTTCAGTATTAGAGTGTCTACCTGTTTTTTATCATTTAAACAAGACTAATCAGGGTTGACCGGGACGTTAATGGTTGTGGGTTTTAGCCATTTTTCGCTGAGGACAGACATGAATATTGCCTGGATTCCAAAATGCTAATTGCTAAATTGATGACTGAGCTGAAGGGAACAGGGATGCTTTACCAGAAACACTCAGATGGTGGCAGCACTGTGCAGATGTTTTAAAAGAGGAATTTTTGCACAGAAAGCACTGAAACTGTAGGCATGTGTACAAGTATGCAGAGACATGCAGAGGTGAACTCGTGCTTATTTTTGGGGAGGGTGTGTGAGTGTGGGAAAGGGGGGCTGAGGTGTTCCCCCCCTCTCTCTGGCAGGTTGTTCAGCCGGCACGACCCACAAGCAGAGGAGGCTCTGGCCAGGAGGAGGGGGAGGAACAGCCCAAATGGGAACCTCATCCGAATGCTGGTGCTCTTCTTCCTAGAGAGCGAGGTAACGGGGTACACCCCAGCACCCAGAGATGAATCTGCCTGTGTGGGGGTCACACCTACCTCACTTACACTGTACATCACCACTGTGACTTGGAGCTACACCTTCACGTGATCCGACAATCTGTTAAAAATTAAATTTTTAAAACTCTGAAGAATATGTAGTAGGCAGGCAGCCAGCAGCTCTTTGCGCACAGGTGGGGGCCCCTGCTTGAATGATTATCTCAGTGATGAATGTGGGTGTCACTGGGCGTGCTGTCAGACCTGGCAGAGACCTGGTTAGTGAGGCCAGTGAGAGGGAGTTGGGGTTCAGTGTCAGCTGTAGCTTCTGCTGGAGTTAAATGCATGTTTGACACTGAAGCACATGCTGATTCGACCGGGTAGAGGCAACCTCTCACTTCTGCGGTCGTCAGCTGGGAATGTGCACACACACACACTGACACATCCGCGCACACACACACACACACACACACACACACACATGCACGCATACTCACACACACACACTCTCTCTCTCTCTCTCTCTCACACACACGCACACACACATACTCACACGCACTCTTTCTCTCACGCACACACACACACACACACACTCACGCACACACTCACACAGACACACACACACACACGCACGCACACACAGTCACACACACACACACACATGCGCACACACACACATGCGCACACACACTCCCTCTCTGACTGGTGCGGTTGTCCCTCAGCTGCACGAGCATGCGGCCTACCTGGTGGACAGCCTGTGGGACAGCTCGCAGGAGCTGCTGAAGGACTGGGAGTGCATGACGGAGCTGCTGCTTGAGGAACCCCTGCAGGGAGAGGAGGGTACTGTCTGACTCGCTCTGTCCTTCCTGTCCCTCTCTGTCCTTCTGTGTCTCCCTGTCTGTCCCTCTCTGTCTCTGACAGTGTTTCTCTGACTGTTCCTCTCTGTCTGTCGCTTTCTGTCTCTCTCTGTCTCTATCTCTCTGTTTGTTCCTTTCTGTCTCTCTGACATTGTCTCTCTCTGTTTCTTCCTCTGTCTCTCTCTCTGGCACTGAATGTCTGTCTCTGTCTCTCTCTGTCTCTGTCTCCATGTGTCTGTCTGTAACTGAATATCTGTCTCTCTGTCAGTGTGCCCATCTCTCTGTCTGAGTTTTGGTGCGTTCCATTTGAACTCGGAAGTCGGAATTTCCGAGTTCCCAGTTGGAAATTTCATCTGGAACACCCCCTGAAGTTGGATTTCCGACTCAGAAAGTCGGAGGAACTTCACCA